CGACCGGGAGATCACGAGCCGCAGCTGCCGAGCGTGGAAGTGCTACCGCCGGAACAGTGCTTCGATGTACGACAGGCGACGGGCCGACCGCCAGCTCAAGATCCGGCTTCTCCAGGCTGAAGTGGTGGAGACTCTCCTGTATGGGTGCGCCTCGTAGAGCCCAACAGCGGAACACTACACGAAGCTCAATGGGACCCACTGCCAGTTCCTTACACGGTGCATCGGCTGGAGCAAGCGGAAACGCTCAGACTGCCCCCTGTCCTATGCCCAGGCCCTCATCCAGGCAGGCTGCGAGGAAACCATCGAGGCCACCGTGCGCAAACGGAGACTGTGTTTCGCGGGCTTCGTTATGCGCATGGAGGACAACCGCCTCCCCAAGCGCATGCTGTTAGGAGCGATGGCGGGGGGCGTGGGATACCGGGGCGGGCAGGAGAGCGACTGGGTGTCTCGTCTAGGAGAGGACCTCGTGGCCTTCAACATGGGAGACGAAAAGGAAGGGGGGAAATGGAAAGAGAGCGCCAAGAACCCGGAGGTTTGGTACAACAAGGTCGAGGACGGGGCGTCATGGTTCATGAGGAAATGGCACAGGCAGGAGGCGGAAGCGTCCGCGAAGCGCCAGCGCGCGCGGGAAGCAGAAGCAGAGAGTACGACCATCTCAGGACCGAAGAGAAAGAGAACCGGCGAAGCGGCGGTGGGGGGGAAGAAACGGCGAACGGGCACTGCTGTAGAAGCGAGTAGGGCGGCCGAGGCAACGCNGGCAGGAGGCGGAAGCGTCCGCGAAGCGCCAGCGCGCGAGGGAAGCAGAAGCAGAGAGTACGGCCTCAGGACCGAAGAGAATGAGAGTCGGGGAAGCGGCGGTGGGGGGGGAAAATCGGCGATCGGGCACTGCTGTAGAAGCGAGTAGGGCGGCCGAGGCAGCACTTGTGGCGAACTATGTACCCGGCTGATGTTGTTGCGCCCTGTTTCCCTCCCTGCTGTATGCCATACTCCTCTATGTATGTCCTTTGTATTGCCTTCGGCCTCTGAGCTGTGTTTCAGTGTTTCTTATTTTCATGACCTCCCTGCCTACTCTGCTGTGTTGGGTACCGTGATCTCGTTTTGCTGTTGTCTTTGTTTTTGTACGTCTGGCTGTCTGCCCATCTGCCACCTCTTTGTCCTGTTTGCTCCGTTACTCCCATGCCCTGGTGCGCAATGCCTGGTGCTGGTACGTTACCCTTTGATTTTTTCTTTGGGCGGGTGTGGGAAGCGTCCTCCTTTGTATTTGTTTTTGTTGTATTTTCATCGGTTTCCGAGGGCTCTCCTCTCGAACGGTCGGTCCTTTCTTTCTATCATTTTGTTTTTTTCTTCCGAGTGGTTTGTACCCCATTTGTGTTTTGTTTGCCCGCGGCGTCGGATGTGCCGGGTTTTGAGACCACGGGCTCCCTATTTTGTGTGGAATATAGAGCTAATGTGAGAAACAACAACAACAAAAACCTCCAGTCAGCAACAGTCAACGGCAGCTATCAACGCACTCACCAGCAGTGGTCACATCAAGAAGCAGTCAACGGTCTTCACGTCTCCACGTCTCCAACACTCCACTCTCCACTCTACCTAGTTATCTACGGCTTTGCACCTGTCTAGAGTAAATGTGCCTATTAATAAGGACCACGCCCCGAGGGGGAACCGCCAATCGATGTTACGGTTCGCAATCGGGGCAGTGTATAGGGAATAGACTGGTCTGGAAACCCCCCTGTTAATAAAAACCATGACAAAACCTGGTTAGACCGCACTTGTTACGGCGGCCCGCAAGCAGGAGGACAGCGACGTGCCCAGAACAACAACCGGTAAGACCCAGAGGAAATACGCATGAGATGAGATATATGAAGTGTCACATCGTACAATGCACTACCGAAAGACTTATCGTCGCCGACCACAGAATCAGCAGCTTTGAAGCGGCGGAATTGCCGGATATACGATTCTCCAGCACACCGCCCCGGCGCGAATAAGGCGTGTAGTGGATGATCTCACGTACTCGCACGCTGAGGGTGTGCTCCATATGTGTGACGGTCGTGCAGTGCCCGCAGAAGTTTAGGAACGTGTCGGCGTCGGTGTTTCCTCACCCTCTGGAAATGAGGACATGATTTCCGCCAAATGGGGTGCTGAGGGGCGGTCAAGCCGATCGGAAAAGCTGTACACACGAGGCGCCGTGCAAAAGGCGACTGATATAGGTAGTCTGTGAACATGCAACGCCCTCCGAAGAGTTTTGGTGCGTTCGGTTGCCAAACCTTCAAAATTTCGGTTTCGGTGTACTGGCTCCCAAAAGTGTGCGTTTTTCTGCACATTTAAGAACCCTCCTTAACGATTCTTCGGTTTGTTGGAATATGCCGACTGGCTTTCGGAGAAATCCGAACGGACCGCCTGACGTTTCTTAACGTCAGGCGGTCCATTTTTTGAATTTCTCAGACTTTTCGGTTTGAAAACGTACAGCATTTACACACCACAGCCTTCAGGCAGGCGGCAGCGCCAGCGTACAAACATGCAGAGCGACGAGAACAGCGGACCTACCGGCGGCAGGCCGCCGAGGGGCCATCGCCGACCCGCGAGATACGACAACACAGGCGAAAGTGGTGCTGCCTGTGGTCATGGGTTGGGTCATGGGTTGCAGCAGTCTGCTGCCGCCGTTGATGATGACAACGGCCGCGGCCGCGACCCTCTCCCGAGCCACGCCTCTCGCCGGCTGCGCGTGGCCGCCCCCGCCGCTGCCGTAGAAGCGGAGGGTTCGCGATGCCCCCTTACGATGCTGTCGCAAGCTGCCGGGGTCGCCGGGTTTGCTACCACGACAACCACCGCAGCAGCCATCGCCCGCATCACGGAAAGCGGGTTCATCTCCAGGCTGCGACGCTTTCGCCGCCTTTGCTCCGCGAAATCTGCAGATCCACAGCGCTTTCCGTGACCATCCATGGTCTACAAGCTTACAGGCGACACAAGCAAGCCACCTGGGGACTGTCCCCGAGATCTGGAGTGCGAGAGGGTGCTCAGCGTGCTGGCGACTGCAGTGCAACTCGAGTGCTCCCATTTCGGAGTCATTTCGGAGTTTCTCTTCGGAAAATGCCGAAAATGAAGCGGCGCCCGAAAAATTCCGACGCTTCATTTTCAGCATTTTCCGACAAGAAATCGGCATTTTCCGAAAAAGTAGGGCGCATGTCGGCATATTCCAACAGAACAAATCTCGTTAAGAACCTACCTTAGGCGTTTTTAGATAGTGCAAGTACTGTGCATTTTTTTTTTTTGGGCAGTGGCCAAAATACGGTATACCGTGCTGTAGTGTGGCCAAAGCACGGTACAGGGTAGAACGGCATACAAACGAGGCTGAATGGAGCCACGTGATTGGTCGAAATAGGACCGCACCCTCCGGTGGCCAATATATCGGACGGTATACCTTGCAGAGGCCACTCAGCTCGCGAGGCCACCGTGTACGGTAACCACATGTACCGTGTTTTGGCCACCTCGAGCGAGGCTGTTCGCTCAACCGACCGACGCATGTCAGGCCTCTCGCCAACGCCCCGCCGGTGACGTGGACGCGCAGTGCACACGCGATCGCGGACAAACTTTTGGGATGGATGCATTCCTTCTCTCTTTCTCTCGCATCTCGCACACCACACAACCACAAATTATTCACACACCACACACCACACACGAGCACCATGAGCGCCGCCGGTGGGCCGCCGCCTGCACCACACCATCTCCTTGGACATACGAGTCTCTGCGTTTGTCTTTCGCGCTCAGCTCATTCTGCAGAGAGAGCCGTAGACATTGAGACTATCGCCTATACCGCCTCGCCTCGTTAAAAGGAGCTCATCAAGGTTACAGGCGTGTAAGTATGTCGTGTATCGTGGGTGACAAAAACCTGCCAACAATCGCAAATGCGCGGAAACATACGCACACACATATCACGCAACACCCACCGTCCCCTTGTTGGCGTATGTATGGACTAGTAGTCTCACACACATACACGCGGTGCCTACATAACGGATAGTCTACAATATAAGTCTCGATAGGATCGGCTCGTTGCTGGAGTATGTAGTTAGTAGACTATTTCACGAGAAAACGTCCGAACTGCATGGTACTGCCCAACGAAGTATGTAGGGCCAAGGCCATGTAACAACTGTACATACGCAAACCTTCAGACAGCGCTTGTAGTACTTTTCTGACATTCTCATGCAAGGTGACTCAAGCACGTGAGCCGCACACATCTTGTAGGGTTTCCC